TATATATTCTTATTATAATTTATATAATTTTATTTTATTTACCTTTCTTAAATTTTTTTTATTTCCATCTGTTATGTTTTATTTTATTTTATTTTGTTTTGTTTTATTTCAATTTATGTTGCTTTATTTTATTTTACTTTACTTTATTTTATTTTACTTATCTATTTTTATTTATATATTTTTTTAAATTTTTTGTTTTACTTTTCTTAGTTCATTTATTTTGTTTTACTTTTTTTCAATATGCTTTACTTTTTAATACTATTTGTATATTTTTTATTATTTATATAATTTTATTTATTTACCTTTTTTAAATTTTTTTTATTTTGTTATTATATAATATTTTTTTTAATCATTTTATTTTATTTTATTTTTATGTTATGTTTTAGTTCTTTTTATTTTTTTTGTTTTATTTCGTTTTACGTGTTTTATTTTATTTTTTTCTGTATTTTATCTATTTATTTTTATTTTAGTTAATTTTTTTTAATTTTATTTTTTATTTTTTTAGTATTTTTTTTTTAATTTTAACCATTTTAATTTGTTTGTATTTAAAATTAGTTTATTTTGTTTTATTTTATGTTTTTAATATTATTTATATATTCTTATTATAATTTATATAGTTTTATTTTATTTACCTTTCTTAAATTTTTTTTATTTTATTCTGTTATGTTTTATTTTATATTATTTTGTTTTTTTTTTCGATTTATGTGGTTTTATTTTATTTTCCTAATTTTATTTATTTATTTTTAATTTTGTTTATATTTTCTTATTTTAACTTTTGATTTTGTTTTTATTTTTATTTATTTTTATTTTATTTTTATTTTTTGTAATGTTACCTATTTTAATTTCATTGTATTGAAAACAAGTTAAATTTATTTGGTGTTTGTTAATTTTTAAATTTTTGGTTTTTTTTTGATAATTTACTTTTAAATAATTTAATTTCACATTTCTTTTTTTTATAATTATTTTGGTATTATTATATTTGAAATTATTTTATTTCTTATTTGTTTTAAGTTTAATGATATTTTAGATCTTCTTTCACCGAAGAGGGTGTACAAGTGTATGTAAACAAAAGTAGAGATTATTAGAATTGTAAATTCTTCAATTGCTTTTTACTAACACCAAATCAAAAAATTTAAGTAACAAAATTCAGACGAGCAAGCATGACTTTGGCTGATGGCAAACTTTTTTTTATCAATTTGTTTGGTTGCTTAAACGTCAGCCGGCAGAGTTTTGGAAACAGTTTTGTTGAAGGTCAAGTATGAAATCGAGTTAACGTTATGCCTTGCAAGGAAAAATATGAACTTTCTTTTTTTAAATAAATTTTTTAACATATTTTGTTTTTAATTAAATTCCCATCAGAAACTAATTGCATGATTAGTAAATTTTTTATATCATCGAATGGTTTAATGTATATTTCCGTTGTATTGTATATGAAATATAATTTATATTTTAAACGAGTATATATATATATATATATATGCACTCGTGTTTTATTGCTGTTTATTTAAATAAGAAATGTGAATATTTTTTCGTTAAATTTCTTAGTTGTTTGTTCCTGAAATAAAGTTGCAATCGGAAAACATCATTCGATCATATTTCTATCATAACAATAACAACTCTTATTTACAAACTACTTATTTATTGACAATTGCACTATTTACTGTTAGTTTAACGCCCTACAATTTGAATGCTTTCACAAGCTTGTTTATCGACCAAGTTAGCCTTGTTGTTATTAGTTGTTATTGTTGCTATTGTCGCTATCGTGTGCACATTTTAATATCGTAATTGACCATTGAATGAGCATCAATTAGTTGATTGCAAGAGTGCCGCTTGCGGACTCAAATAAAAGAGGCGTTGTTATCAGCGCTAGAGACAAAATGTAAACAAAACAAAAAGGAAATCCTCGGCAAGGACGTATTGTAAATGTTTAAATGCGTAGCAGATAATCGTAGAAGCTAAGCATGTTAGCTCATACAGAAGGGTTAGGGTTACATTTACAATCAAATCCATTTCATACGCGAATCAGGTGTACTTTAGACAATTAATTTAGAATTAAAATTCATCAAGTAGCAGTCTGAACTACTTGTATATAACAAAATCTGGTATGACTGCAATGAGATATTTTCGTGGACTGTCTTCTACTTTTTAACACTGGGCCATGCTAAACGTTTAATTTCATTTGCCATGCCATAAATGGTCAACTAATTTTTGGCGGCAATTTTTCATTGGCTAAAAAATATATTCTTGTTTATTTTTATTTTGCAAAATTTAGAAATTCGATGTTATTCGGAGATGTATTTGCGTATAAAAGCATTGAAAAAGCATTAAATATTGTAAGATTTAGAAACTTTTAATTCGGTGCTAGTGTGGCATTAAATTTCTGACGTAAACTTTACATTAATCCATAAAGAAAATGGGTAGAGAGTCAAATATCAAAGCATTTTGTTGGCTTCAATGGAGTTTTAAGATGATTCTTTATCGATGAAGTAATGAAAAAAAGAAGGAGGACAATGTGAGAGGAAATTTGGGCTAGACAAGATATTCGTGCCTCCGCCTTGAATGAAAAGAATCGTATTTTTGTACTAAAAATTTAATTTTCTACCATTGTCCACTTCCAAATTCCATTCTTAATGTATCCCATAGCCTTCAAATATATATAATTTAATTTTTTCCACCAAAATTTATTTATGTCCCCATAGCAATTATGAAAGTGTGCGTATTAGAGAAGAAGAAAATGAAGTGCTGACCTTTGTCATTTATGTACAAATTTATATTATATTTTATGGTTGCACTCGAGGTAATAAATTTGAGAAATTGATATTTCATATTACAAACAGTGGTGTTTCTAAGACGTACATATGTGTAGATGTACATATATGCAATTCTACCCTTGCGCAATTTGATTGCTTTCATTTAAGTTGGAGCGAATGTAAAAGCAAATATAACAGCGAGTGAATATATATAAAGAGAAAGCAAAGCAATAAACATTTTTGAATGAAATTCAATTTATTTTACAAATATTATATGATTTTATATCATTTGGTCGAGTGTCCATGTAAAATGATGCTTGCGCAAGCAGATGGAATTACACCCAAAATATTATATATGTATATATGTGTGTTTACTTACTTTACTGGTGTAGACACCGCTTACGTGAATGTATTCGAGTTAACAACTTTGCGCCATTCGTTGCTCCTTTTTGCTCTTTAGCGTCAACTGGAAATACCAAGTACAGCCAAGTTCTTCTCTGCCTGGTCTTTCCAACGGAGTGGCGGTCTTCCTCTTCCCGTGCTTTCGCCGGCGGGTACTGCATCGAATACTTTCAAAGATGCAGTGCTTTCATCCATTGAGACGACGTGACCCAGCCGGCGTAGTCGCTGCTTCTTGATTCGCTGAACTAAATCAATGTCGCCGTATAACTCGTACAGCGAATCGGTCCATAGTCTGCGGTGTTCAATGCGTAAAGGACTATAAACCAGAACTTTTCGCTCTTATTATTCTCTCCAGCATCACCAAGTCACATGATAAAGAGTCGCCATGTCTTAAGCCTCGTTTGGTAACGAACGGCTTGCAGAGGTCTTTCCCGATTCGATGGAGCTTCTGGTGTTGCTCAAAGTCAGTTTACACAGCCGTATAAGTTTTGCAGGGATACCAAATTCACTCATAGCAGCATAAAAGCAGCTCCTTTTCGTGCTAACGAATGCGGCTTTAAAATCGACGAAGAGGTGGTGTGGGTCGATCCTTTTTTCACGGGTCTTTTCCAAGATTTGACGCATGGTGAAAATCTGGTCGATTGTTGGCTTTAGTTTCTCCACAATATGCTTTATAGGACCTTATATGCGATATTATAGTGGGATAAGCCTCCTTAAATGTGTGTATGCTTTTTCATAAACACGCAACTGAACTACTTAATTATATTTATGCATTTTTAATACATTAGGTCTTCTATGTTAGCTTAGCTAAATATTCACTTTTTTATTTAATTCAACTCCCTCACCGAATGGCAGTTGATAGCTTTGAATTACCAAATGATTTTTTCGATTTAAAATTTTGAACTAGAAATTTGCTAATGGAAATGTTCTATTGAGTTTTGTGCTGAATTGATCTTTTAACAGCAACACTATAAATGCAAAATAAGCAGATTATAATAAGTAGAAAGTCGTATTCGATTCCTGTTTATTTGCGGGAAGTCCTATCTAACTATTTTTACACACAGACGATTGTATTTGTGCTTAGAGAAGAGCCCACACCCGATTGAACCAACCATTGTAGTCTAACCACTTGACGCTTTCGCTTTTTCATGAATGAAAATTTATATAAAATAACGAATTGTTTGTACATGCGCAAAAAAAACTTTAAAACTTACTTTGAACACGAACATGTTGCATGTGATGGCTTGATGCTCGATGCTTATGATAAAATAGGTTGGTGGATAAAAATATTATACTATAATTTTGAATTTCATTTTTGTATTATAAAATAATAGTAATATATAAAAAATAATAATAAAATAAAATTCATTTTAAACAATAAAATAAAATAAAAAAATTATACAAAATAAAAAGAATAGTTAAAACGTTTGTGTGACCATTAACAAATTAATTTTTAGTTTAATAACTGGTTTTATATTACTATATGAATTTTTTTCTGATAAAAGATACAATAGAATATAATCTAAAAGCTGTTAAAGGCTTTTTATTTTCCAAAAGATCAGTTTTGTTGAATTCATTGTTAAAAAAGTTTTTTTTTTAAGATGCATAATTTCTGGCAGAAAACTTTCGTACAACTTCTATAAGCACAGGCGGCATATAGTCATATCTACAACTACGACTGTCCCGCATGTATGCATGTATGTGTAGGGGTAGGCCGATTGGTGGGTGTGTAATTATATCTAGATGTTGTAAACAACACACATATTTGTTGTCTGTTCGATTGTGCAGCAAGAAAGTAGCAACTGTTGGCATAACTTGCTGTTCATCGAAATGAAACAGCAACGGAAATTCAGTTGATAACGGATAGTCGCAGAGTTAAGACGTTCTTACCAAACAAAAAGCGGATAGAGAGCAAATATAAAATCAAATAAGAGATCTGTAATAAGTTACAATAATAGAAGTGAGTGTGAAAAGCTTAGTAAAGAATTTTCACAAAAGGAAATTTAAATCTTAATGAGTAAAATCGTGGGGTGGGAAGTCATAAGAAATATGGAAAAACAAATAAATCACCTACAAAAATATAAACTGTGTTGATTGTGAGCAAAAACAAAATTTCACAAGTTTCAATGAAATAAATAAACAAAAAAAAAAAATTGCATCTAAAATCAAAAAGTAGTGCTGTGAATGAAAACTGTAAACACTGACGCTGTATGTATACAATTCTACAAATTTACACCGATTTGCTGCTTTGTTATCTACAATTTAATTGTCTTTACTGCTACTCAGAACTTTGCCGCCAACCGGTGAGCAATCAATTGGATTAACACATTACAAGAATTGCGAAACAATAAATATTTAATTTGGAGCATAACGTTTAAGGTGAGACTTCTCGTTTGTTTGAGTTCATTTTGTGCTTGTAAAACTGTGAAATTTATATTATAACTGTAATTATATGCATAATTTGCGCTTTGTAACCGCTGAAGCGTTTTTTCCGCAATTACAATGGTGTATTTATTATGCTGCACCTATGATCGTGTAAGATTAAAGGATATTTAATTTTTTTGTAAAAGCAAAAAACATCTTTTAGTGCATTTTTTGTTCATTTTATTATATCCTTAATGAAATAAACTTTCGTAGATGATTTTCTGCTTTCAAGTAGATATATTTGTGTACATTTTAGTATTATAAATGAATTTGCACATTAAAGTGGTTGGAAAATGCATATAAATTCAGTATATATAGACATATTTGAATTCCGACAGAAATCCGAAAGTGAATATATACAAGTGCAATGTTGCTATAACATGTGACTTTAAAATAAAAGTCTGCCAGTGCGTATGATGAACATTTAAATGGTTGCATGAGCATGGAAAAAAGTTCGAATAACTTTCCCTTAAATTTTATTTTGTTCAAAGCACTTTCTAATTCGCTACTAATATTTTTCGATGCAACACCTATATTTTTATTATTTTTTTATTTATTTGAAATAAAATAAAATAAAATAAAATAAAATAAAATAAAATAAAATAAAATATCATAAAATTAAAAAAAATAAAATAACACAAAATAATAAAAAATAAAGTAAAATAAAACAAATTAATATAAATTAAATTAAAATAACATAAATGAAAATAAAATAAAATAAAATAAAATAAAATAAAATAAAATAAAATAAAATAAAATAAAATAAAATAAAATAAAATAAAATAAAATAAAATAAAGTAATATAAAATGAAATACAATAAAATAAAATATAATAAACTGAAACAAAATAAAATTTAATTAAGGTAAATTGAATTAGATAAAATAAAATTTAGTTAAGTTAATCTTTAGGTTTTCTTCTCCACTAATGTTATTTGATGTTAACTCCTTTCTGTTGATTAGTGTCACTTATATATTTGAAAATCTATAATTTTAATTCACTTATACAAGTTAAGTCCATATTCTTAAAAAGCCATAATTAAGGAAGCCGTAGTTATTTATAAGTAATATTGGGAAGATTAAAATTTGATTACATACTAGAATAGTATTACTGTATTTACTTCGCCACATTAAAGAAATTCTTCTCAGAAGTTCATCCTTTCTTTAAAAGCAACTTGAAACCACAAATATGTGTACTATTTTTTTTCTTTCTCCATTCTGCAATATCAGAATGCGTAATTATAAATACCATTGAGCTTCTTTTATTTGCGAAAAAGTATTTATTTGCTGTATAAGTTTTTCAATGGAATTCATTCCAAATTTTATTGACCTATAACATTAATTTCAACAGTAAACGTACTTTGTGCGTTGGGCTGGTAAACATAACATTGTAACTAAGTATTTTGCCGATACTGAGTCTTGAATGAGTTTTACGCTAGAGCTCGATTGTGTAATATTTTGGTGCCACACTAAAGAGAGTTTTTGTCGGTGGTTCTGCTTCCACAGTGCGCAGGTTTATGGGTGGGACAGCGTTTTTGATCGGTATTTTTAGTCAGTTTTACAAAATCCATTTATATTCCAAAGAAGGGATTTTTCAGTTAAAAAGGCTTTATGGATTGCTTTACACTTATAACATTTTCTTAGTTGATTTAATGCTGCTCATACCACATGGAGTACTTTTGGTTTTTATGTTATAAATTCTTAAATAGCAATCTAAGAAAACATAGCTAAGGTATATTGAGATGAACTTGGATTAATTAGTACGATAGAAATTAGGTTTCATAAAAATTTTTTATTATAAAATTTTAATACAAAAAATATTTAATTAAAAACCTTTTTATACATAAAATTTATGGATATCAAGTAATTTGACACGTTCTTTTTTCAATGCATTTAAAGGAAATTCCCCTTATTGCACACAAAAACAGTTTTCTTTGTTCAAAAGAGTTTTTCAAATGTTGAATATATATTTTACTTACATATTTACTTTTAATTACAATTATCCCACCATTCATAAAATTCATTGATACGCCTTGCGGTTTCCTCAGTGATTGTCTTAATAGGCACAGATTAATTTTCTGCTTGAGTTCATTTTAAGCGTAAATGTAATTAATCTGATTATTATAAACTTCCACTCACCTGTATTAGTGTTGCTCTTAATAATGTATATATATTTACATATGTATATGTATATGATTTATATATCCTTAGGGGTATTTACTCAATTCTGGAACTCGATTAAGTTAAATATTACCGAAATATGTACATAATATAATACATGTATGTAATATATACATTTATGTGTTATTCGCAGGATTTCACACATTTTGATGATACTCAATTCTACTTATTATTTTAGCATTCCAATTATTTTTTTCTTTAAATCACATGATTAATGGCACATACATATGTTGTGTACTTGTGGTATTGAAAAATTATTCTTAATAATATATTGTTTAAGGACATTTTCCGCAATTTAATAATATCTGATTAGAAGTTCACCAATGTTTTCATTACGGCGCGATGACAACATGCCTTTCGAACATTCGGAATTTTACGACGATGTGCTTATAGCGAAGACTTGTTTAATCTTGTCCTTATACAATTAAAAATTATAGTCTGGGAAAAGTGCACACCTATGTTGATTTGGTTTGATGTACCCTGAGATCGATTTCCATCTTAATACCAATACCACAGTTTTAAAAGTCCAAAATGCTTTTTCTTTTGACAGCAAATAGGTAAAGAACTTAAATATCTTTATGTAACTAAAACATTTTATACCACTTTGGTGGGACCAATATTACAATATGGGGAAATCCACTGTCCACCGCAGAAGTGGCCGTTACCGCGGTAAGGCCGCCGTTTCTTGCGAGTTGACTCGGTGTCATGAAAGTTTCGTTAAAATATTATACAGCCGATATTTCCCCATGGGTGCAAATAATTCATGGAGGCGACAGTTTTTCTATTCAAGGAAGAAGCAATACTACTTTCTCAGCGAATAGACACTGGGGACGAGGTACATGCGAAAACTATGATGCAAAACTCACAGAATTTGTACTATACAGCAAATGTATGATATGTTTGGATACAGTTTAGCACGTAACAGATGTTTACTTTGCGCAGAAAGGCTACAAGATCTCCAATCGACAGTTGCCAAATGGCCAAAAGGACTGCTTGAATTTGGGAAAATAACAGCAATGTTCTTCACACTGGAGACACAATTAGAGTATATGGATGTGTTATCGCCTACGTGAGATGCAATGTATCAGCAAGCTCAACCTAATCGAATCTAATTTCGTGAGTTAAAGAGTAAGTTATCGGACCAATTTGTAGTTCATCTCTCAGCTCTTATCTGAGGTAAATTTCAATGTGGCAACTTGTATATTTAGGCAGTTTAGGCCCATTCTTTTTTTGTTTCCCTCAACAATTTAATTTTAATATTCTTTAATTACTAAACTTCAACTGCTTAATAAAATTTTTTTTGAAATATCGACATTAAGCAAACACTTCATGACTCGACGAATTATGTGCGTAATGCGGACGTCAGCTCTCTCATCGGTTGGGAGGGTGGAGGATATTTGTTGGGTTTATAATTATTGAAATATTTCAACGATATATATATAGTTCGTATTTATTTGTTGAATACCAAAATTAAGTTATCATTTAAATTTAAAAATAATTGCTTGATTGGCAAATTAGATTTTGTTAGGAAAAAAACTTATAATTTTTAATTAACCCAAATGTTAGTAATTCATGGGATAACTCTATTACAGATCATATACATACATATTTTATGTATATTTCTGCTTTTTCTGCCATCCAACAAAATGTGCTACGTGTCGAATATGTCAATTATATTGAAAAAAGTGAATGCGAAATGATAATATTCCTTTAAATTGCATAATCGAGTGCCAGGATAACTTTTTTTTATTAAAAAAACACATATAAAAACAAACCCACAATTTAACATCAAACCTAAGACGAAGTTTTAAAAGCCACATCCTTCATTTAAGTACTTACAGATACATATATAACGTAAAATATATGTATGTATGCACACAAACATATAAAAAAACTCTCTTTTGTTTTGCATATAAGCAAACAAATGCACGCAGCTGCTAAGAGTTGATCTTAGGAGTTAAGTACTCTTCATCAGAATGCCAGCTAATAACATGAAAAAAGTTATTAAGCTTTTAAAAGTCAGGGCGGGAGTAGTCGGTGTATGTATTATGCCATAAAGCATGTACATATGTATGTATGCATATAAGATAATCGGAAATTTCAAAATTTTTTGCTATTTTACTTCGGGTAGGGGGAGACAATACAAAAGTTTTAAAAGCAAAATAAAATCTAACCAAAATGAATCCAACCCGATTTCGATTTCATTGGATTTACATACACACAAACAAACTTGATTGACTCAAAAGATAATATAAAATAATTGAATATATTAATTAAGGGTTCCTCTATGACTTAGCTGTTTCTCTCTTTTTTTACCTTCTACTCTCTTTAAAGCAAGATAAAATATTAGAATTTCTCTGAGAAATATTATTAATGACGTGAACTTGAAAATTTATTAATTACATGCCAAATAAATTACGTGTGAAAAGTCACAAAAAGTTTTGGGATACCGATTGTTTTTTGCCTCCTGAAATAAAACACAAATAATACAAATAATTCAATAAAAAATAAAATAATAAGCAAATATTACTTATATTTTCAGTTTATAATTTAGCGAAAAAAATATTAAGAAAAAAAATGGCAGGCCAAAAAATAATTTTAAAAATCTAGAAACATTGCTTAATATATTTAAAAAAAAAAATGAAGAAGAAAAGTTTTTTATGTCTCTCAGATGTCTATTACAAAACTTCTTAAGTTGGATATTTTTGTTTATTTATTTTTTATTTATTTATTAATTTTCACCTCTTTCTTTGAATATTTTAAATGATGTGTTTTCT